AAAAAAAAAAAAAAAAAAAAAAAATGAATGTGATGGATAAAAAAAAGTTTTTTTTATATATATATCTGAATATTATATATATTTTAAAGTTTGAAATATATTATAATATATATATATATAATAAAAAAAAAAAAGAGGAAAGGAAAGAGTGAGTAAAATGAATAAATGAGGTCAAGTGGGGTAGATTGAGATTAAAATTGGGATAAATTCAATGAAAATCATCACGAGTTACAAAAAATAATATTTCCTTTACACTAAATAAATGATATCATTTGCTGGTTTCACATGAAGTGACGTTCTGACAATCTATCGCATTACTTTACATTTTTAACGCCTCCTGCTTAATATAATTATTAGCATATGGGCAAAAGTACTGCGGCGTCGTGGGAATTATCAATAAATTTCTTTGTTTCAGTTTTGATTTTTGGGCAGAAATTGATTTATTTTTTATCCAAACATCTTTTAAATATACAAAACGAGCCTACAAAAAAAAAATAAAAAGATTAATTTTTATAATCAACCAGTATATTAAAAACAATGTGACAATGTTTGATAGCTGCTGTACTTCAATATTTTATATAATTATATTGGGTTAACAATGACAAAACGTAATAATATTATTTTCATTAATTGATTACATATAAACATATAACAAATATAATACATATAAATATAAATCAGTTGACATATGCAAAATAAAAATGTCATTTATAATTTTATATGTGTATAATTTTTTATTATATATATTAAATTAAATAATTTTAACCTAGAATCGCTAGGTTAATGATCTGATAAGATAATTTTAAAATTTTGAATATTGTAAAAAAACACAAGATTCGGACCTTTAATTTTGTTCCGAATTTACGGACTATAAGGTTTAATAGGTTTAGTTACGCCTTTACGATCATATTGTACAAAATTGCGTAAAAAAAGAATTTTAATTTGGAACAATGAGTTACACTTGAAAAAAATTTGAAAATCATCAAGGAGAAATGATTTGAGTTTCAAGTTTATAATTCAAACATCATAACTTAACCCTTTTATTTTAGGAGAAGGAATTTAAATATTTTTGCATATTTTTTGTTCGTATGCTGCGGTCTGTCATCTGTCATTTTTTTTGTTTAATCAAGAGGAGTTACGTGTAATAAACCTTATCGTTGTTACATAATGATCGATAATTAATGTTGATTTACCCAATCAAATTTGTAAATGCGCATTTCATTCATAAATGGAAAGAAAAACTTTAAAAAAAAAAGTCTGTTCGGTTTCATGTTATATATAAAAAAAATAAATATATATGTTATATTTATTGAAAAAATGTAGGCGAAAAAAATAAAAAACAAATAAAAAAAAAAAAACATGTCTAATTATCTTTATTTTCTGAAAAAAATTCTCATGCGTATGCTTAAATGTTTTTAACCTTAACCATTTAAACAAGTAAACGTATTAAAAAAAGATGAAAGAAAAAGGATTTTTTTTTTTTTTCGATAAAAAAATAAAAAAAAAAAAAAAAAATAAAAAAACTTGATTTTTATTTTCCTAAAAACTCGTGGATGGTAAAAAAATAATACTTGTTTTATAAAGCTATTGTTCTTTTTTAACAATAAACAATAAATATATATAAATAAATAAAAAAATAAATAAATAAATAAATAAAAATTTATATATAAAAAAAAATTTCCAAGGATTGAATTTATTTATTATTATTTATTATTATTATTATTATTACATATTATTATTATTTATTACATATATATTTATAAAAATAGCATAAAAATAAAAAAAATTTATTTTACTATAAAAAAATTTTTATTTTACAACAATTATACTATAATAAGAATTTTGATTTTATAACAATTATACTATAATAAGAAACACTTAATAATTTTTAAGATTTGTTATTATATGTATGGTTTTACCACTTTTACTGGTTTAGGTTTAGGAATTCTAACCCGGTCATACATGATACATGGTCATACCTAATGTAAAATAATTAGTCAAGATTATCCGATTTTCGATCCTGTTTAAAAGAGCACTGACTTTTAAAAAGATAAAAAGTTTAAAATATATTATATATTGTTTTAAATGGAAATAACATTGTTTGCATTTCAAAATGTAAATAGTAAACAAACAAGAACGCAAGAAGCAGCAGCGAATCAGAGATATATTAATATTGGGCTATTAGGGCTATACTGAATAAGTTTACCCGTAATAAGATTACCGTACTTTAAGGGCTGTCTAGCAGTTTTGTTGATAAAAATTCATATAATATTACTTGTTTCGAATCTGGCATTTTAACTTTGCCCGCCCTCCTTTTTAGATATTCAGTGTTACCATATTCAAGTTACCCATTTCTCCCGCCAATTTATTAAAAAATTTTTGTTAAATTATCGAAACTCATCGAAAAAAAAAAAAAATTTTTTGAATTTTAATTTCATACAAAGAAAGTAAGTATAACGGTCGTATCTAGGTGAGACTTTGTAACCTAGATTGGCGATACCCGAGTTATTTGTGATTTGATAATAAAGTTTATTAGGTAAAAAAATTATAAATGAGTAAATAAGGTTTGATGGCAAAAAATTTCTCTTTATATGGTTATTATTCATGTATATAATTGGTATATGGCTGTGTTGCTCTCTTGAATGATAATTTGGTTACTGGCTTAGTTAATCATTACTTTTTATTGGATAGATTTTATCCTATAATTGGATATAGTGAGAAAGTAGTGAACAATGGCGAATTAAAATGTCATTAATCTATTTCATCAATTTATGTGCACAAAGTTTTTTTTTTAACATTGTACAAAATAATGATTTTTTAAAAAAAAATTTTTTTTTTTTCCCTGATATTTTATGATAAGTTGTAATTTGTTGTAATTTGTTGATTTGTTCTTCTTATTTCGGTATTATCCCGATGAACAACAAAAAGATAAAAAAGGATCGAACAAAAACCATATGGCGCGAGAAAATATATATATATATATATTTTTTTTCTTAAAAATTTTTTTCATTATTAAAATAACCATTTATAACTATTTTGTTTTTTTTAAAAAAAATTGAAATTTTTTTTTTTAAGGCTTAGATTATATTTTTAGTCCAACCCATTCATCCATTATCAATTTTTTACGCCAAAAAAAAGAAAAAAAGAAAAAAAAAAAAAAATTAAAAATTTTTTTTTTTTTTTTGATTTCCCGTGATAATTTATATTATTTAACAGATTACACGGACGCAAACCACCGATTTAATCGTCATTTAAATCATTCAATTAACATACCAATCATTTATTAGGTTACATTTCAAGTCAAGTATATCATAAGCTTTCGACATTGCGTACGCATACATACATGAATAAGTACATACACATACGGGCAAAAAGAACTTTATAAAGGATATATATTTTACTTATTTATATATAAATTTCTTTATAAAGAATGATTTCATAAACGGAAAAAAGAATATAATTTTTCCTATTTGACAATTCTAGTATTTTTCTTTAAAAAGAAAAATAAAATTAATAAAAAGTTGGTATCTTGTTGAAAATTTTATCCAAACTATGTCGGGAAAGTCCATTGTTATTTAATTTACCTTTTTTATTCTCATTGAAAGTAGGATCATTCATGCGGTAAATGCGTCATTAACTTATGACTGAAAGAAATCTCTTTATTTTACCCAAAAATGTTGGGTGAACAAAAACTTTTTGTAATTTGGGCTGAAAGTCTTAATCGTTTTTATTATGCAATGCAATGAATGGACTTATTATCATCATTCAATTAGAACTTTTTTTTCAATGTTTTTCTTTATATTCTTTTAGAATGATTGTAAGTAAATAAAAAAAAGATTTTGGAATATTCTAAAAATATTTTCCCATTTTATTTCTTTTAAATAATTTCTTAAATAAAAATAAGTATTTTAGCATGGTATTTTTTTTTTTTTTTTGAAATTTTTGATTTTTTGAAAAAAAAAGGTGTTGTTTATTGAAAAAGTAGAGTTTGATCGAATCACATGATAAAATATGTAATTTTTCAACAGAATTTTCACGTCATCACTCATCTTGTGTTACAATCAAAAAAAAAATAAACGATAAAAAAAAAAAGATCGAAAAAAAAAATTTTTTTTTTTTTTTCATACTATTTCTCATACTATTTTTAATGACATTTCAGACTTTTCATTTTTTAAAAAAAAATCAGCAACAATAAAAAATGGAAGAAGATACCATAAATAAAAAAAATATTTATAATTTAAATAATTTAAATAATTTAACTGAAAATAATAATAATAATAATAATAATAATAAAGTATCTTATAATGTATCAGATTTATTAAAAAAAATTTCTTCATTAATAGATACTTGTGATTATCAATTAGCTTTACAATTCTCTAAAAAAGCTTTAAGTTTAGAAAATGATAATTTAAAAGTTTTGGAAATTTTAGGTATGATTGAAATTGAATTGGAAATGTTTGATGAAGCAAGAGAGGTATGTTAATTGATTGATTGATTGATTGATTTTGATTTTGATTGAATTTTAATTTATTTTATTTATTTATTGATTTCAATTTTATTTTATTATTTTATTTCAATTTTATTTTATTATTTTATTTCAATTTTATTTTATTATTTTATTTCAATTTTATTTTATTATTTTATTTCAATTTTATTTTATTATTTTATTTCAATTTTATTTTATTATTTTATTTCAATTTTATTTTATTATTTTATTTCAATTTTATTTTATTATTTTATTTCAATTTTATTTTATTATTTTATTTCAATTTTATTTTATTATTTTATTTCAATTTTATTTTATTATTTTATTTCAATTTTATTTTATTATTTTATTTCAATTTTATTTTATTATTTTATTTCAATTTTATTTTATTATTTTATTTCAATTTTATTTTATTATTTTATTTCAATTTTATTTTATTATTTTATTTCAATTTTATTTTATTATTTTATTTCAATTTTATTTTATTATTTTATTTCAATTTTATTTTATTATTTTATTTCAATTTTATTTTATTATTTTATTTCAATTTTATTTTATTATTTTATTTCAATTTTATTTTATTATTTTATTTCAATTTTATTTTATTATTTTATTTCAATTTTATTTTATTATTTTATTTCAATTTTATTTTATTATTTTATTTCAATTTTATTTTATTATTTTATTTCAATTTTATTTTATTATTTTATTTCAATTTTATTTTATTATTTTATTTCAATTTTATTTTATTATTTTATTTCAATTTTATTTTATTATTTTATTTCAATTTTATNTTTTTTTTTTATAGTTTCGAAGTTGATGCGGAACAAAAATGTGAAGAATATTTAAATAAAGCTTTAGAATTAGATCTTTTAAATCCTGAAGTTTATCAATTATTAGCTTCTGTTAGATTATCTCAACAAAGAAATGATGATGCTAAAATTGCTTTAGAAAAGAGTCTTGATCTATGGATAAATTTAGATCCAGGTATCCAGATTTATTTAAAATATTTATACTCTTGTAAAATTTCCTTTTGTAAATATTACTCTTGTAAATATTACTCTTGTAAATATTTATTACTCTTGTAAATATTACTCTTGTAAATATTACTCTTGTAAATATTACTCTTGTAAATATTTATTACTCTTGTAAATATTATTACTCTTGTAAAATTTCCTTTTAAATTTTCCCCTTTTAAATATTCCCCTTGTAAATATTCCTAAATACTAAAATCTCTTATCTATTCTATCTATTCTCACTTCTTTAGGGCATTCTTCAATACCTTCATATGAATCACGTATTTCCCTTGTAAAATTATTAATTGAACTTTCTCAATATACGAAAGCTTTAAATGTACTCGAAATTTTACAAAAAGAAAATGATGAAGTATTTGATTTATGGTATTTATATGGTTTGTGTTATTTTCTTATGGGTCAAGATTCTCAAAATGAACAAGATCGTTTAACACATTGGGAAGATGCTCGTGATTGTTTAATCAATTATGAAAAGGTAATATTTTATTTTTTAAATAAATTCTTTTAATTTTTTTTATTCATTAAATTTTCTTTTTTTTCACATGTTTTGTTTTTTTTTTCTTTAATTAATTTCTAATTATTTGATCATTTCTCTAAAATTCATAATTCAATTAATACGCACGTACTTTTCTTTTTCCTTCACATCTTTGCTATTATAACACAAAAAAAAAAAACTGTCTAGTTACATCATAAAATTGGTTCGGATGATGAAGGCATCTTACAACATACACAAGAACTCTTACAAACCATTAACGCCCACGTAAAGCCTTCACTTACATCAGATGCAGAAGAGGATGATGGTGATGATGATGCTAATGAGGTTTATGATGATGATGACGATGATGATGCCGATGCCGATGAGTGGGAAGATTTCAACGCTAACCAAAATAATCATTATAATGATGACCATCAAATGGAAATGTAAGAAAATGTAATATATATATATAATATATAAAAAAAAAAAATATACAAAATATCGGACAGAAAAAAATTAATAATAAAAAAAAAAATGAAATACAATTTTTGTAACAACCGTATCAAGCTCACTCAGCAAAGGAATTTATAAATAAAAAGAAAGAAAGAAAGAATACTGCAGCTTGATAATTTACCGGAAACAATTATTTTTTTCCTTCTAAATATGAATTACTTGTCTGTGAATTCTTATTATTCACATCCTCATTAATAAAAAAAAAATTTATAATAAAAACGAATGAATGAATGCAAATGCTTTAAAAATTATTAAGAAAAAAGGAAAAAGAAAAAAAAACATCTAATAATATAAAGCTATAATTCCAACCACAAATATCGAAATTCCTAGCCTTTTTTTTTCATTTTTCAAATTAACATAATAAAATCTAGAAATCGTTGATTCGATTAATCGCTATAATCTGAATCGTCATCTGCGAATACTTTGCGCAAAATCTCAGTAATTAAATTATGAAATTGGGGATAATTAGAAGGGTTAGAAGTAATACTCTTAAATCCAGGTGTCTTACATACGATTTGGAAGTTCTGTACAACATAATTCATCACGTGATCTCTCAATTCATCATATTGCCATGCTGTACTGAATAAGAATTCGGCTGCATTGTTCATATTCAATCCTCGAAATAATTTTACTTTTGCATGTTGTTGTAAATTCTCTATTAAATATTTGTCCGCAATCTTAAAAAGATTTGTAGGAGACGTTGGAGACTCTCTTGTTCCAAATGACACCCGATTCGTGTACAGAAATCGTAACATTTCAAGAAATGTATCTGGATGAAAATCTGTAACATCAATTACAATTCGTTTTGACCTTATAGGTAAGGATGAACATATCGATCGTACAGAACGATCATCGTCTTCATCGTCACTCTCGGAATCGGAGACTCTTCTTCGTTTATGAGATGATATGGAATTATTGATCCCTGAACTCCCAGAAGCGTTACTGTCCATATCAGTATCATCATCCTCCTCAGGTGTTGGAACTTGTTGCCGCTGTTGTTGTTGTGCTTGTTCTTCTTCGCCTTGATTATATGTAATTGATTCCACCCATCTTCCTACAAACATTCTTTGAAAATATTCGGACCGCCGCATTAGTATGGTTGTGTTTGCATAAATTGATTGACCTTGTACTTTAAATTCTACATCGGCGTATTCTGGTTTATTCAATTGATCTGCCCAGGCTGTCACCAGATCATCTGGAAAAGGTTTACCATTACCAGGAAATCTTGGTTTCTCATCAGGAGTACCGAATTCAGTTTTATCAAATTCTATACCAAGTATTATTTGGTCAGAAGGAAGCAAAGTTTTTTTGCAAAATCTATTCCAACCTGATCATAATAAAAAGGTAAAAGCGAAAGATTATTAGCGTATAAAAAATGTAGCGAAACAAATCAAAAAAAATAACAACAACAATAATAAAATAATTACCTCTTAATGGTTTGATAGCAGAAAATTTTGTTGTATCTAAAGTTGCTTTCTTTATTTCATTTAAAGTTTCTGGGTGTTTAATATATATGTCAGCAGAATATGTTGCACGATTTGTCCATGCTGATGTCGTACCACCTTCTTCATGACTTGGAATGGCGACGAGATATACGGAGCAATATTCTGGATTTCCTTTAGATGTCTTTTGTAATCAATATAAATAGGAAAAATTAACGGGAATTAAATTTTTTGTTAATAAAAAAGAATTTTTAACATTAATGTATAAAATAAAAGTTATAAAATAATAAAATTGATAATTAAACATCCAAAACTAATAGGGAATCATTAATAAATATTGATAATTCGTTATTTTTACTATACCGCAGTAATTCGTTTCAATATTACTTTATTTTTACAAGTTTCGCTCGTTTCGTTTTGGTAATTGTTTAAACTATGAACAAATTGTAATGCACAAGATATAAGTAGAATCGAAAACACATACCGGCTTGAACTTTAGTTGCCAAAACGTATCAAGGGAAGTAGCAAAAGGAGGACTGTAAACCTTAGTTGAAAGGTTATTGTAGTTCAATAGGGTGAACTCAAAGCCACTTCTAACCTTGAAAGACATTTTTTATCAAACTATATTTTATTTTTTTTTTTTCGTTATATAACTTTTTTTNTTTTTTTTTTTTTTTTTTATGTTTCGTTACCAAGGAAGTTGCAACCAAATAAACGAGAGGGTGAGAAAATATGTACAAAAAAAGTGCGAGATAAAATATTGAGATATATAGTCGGAGGCTTAAGTAGTAGTTTTAATAACAACTTAAATGAATAAGAACAAGTATGAAGAAAGGAAAAATTTTTGTTATGGGTTTACCATTAAAAGTTTCGTTTTATTTTTTCAAAAAATTAAATTTTCGCTTTTGTTGGTTGTATACAATATTTGCTTATGAATATTTGGTACCGGCGATTTTTTTGGTAAATAAATTACCGACTTTTTTTAAAGTAAAAAAAAAGGTCAAAGCATAAATATGCACAAAAAAAAAAAAATTTTTTTTTAAAAAAAAATTAATTTAAAATATAATATAAATAATAATAACCGTTTATTATTCCGCAAAAAAAATTTAATTTTCAATGATGTCAGTCTGATCTGCTTCTTAAAGCCGGCATTTATTATGTTATTCATGTTATTCAGGGAAATCGTTTATTACTTATAATAACAAACTTTTGTTCTTTTTAAACGGAATTTGTAAATTTTACCTAGATTAGGGAGTGATTCGAGTGATTCTCTTTTTTTTAAAAAAAATTTCAAGACTTTATTAGTTATAAAAGGAAATTTTCAAATATTAGAAATAATTAAAATAATTAAAATTTTTATAATAATCCCGATTAAAATTGAAAATAATTTTAAATAATTTCGAAATCAAAAAATCCTACCTAATGATAGATATTAAGCATTTATAAAAATTAAGCATTAAATTACATTACAAATAATGAATATAATTTATTCTCAACAACCAATAATGAATTATATAAATTCCATATAAAATGGTTAAAAATTAAATATTTTTCTAAAGTAAAAAATTATTTATATTGAATCAAAAATAAATAATTAAAAAAAAATAACTATATTTTTCTTGTATAAAAAAAATGGGTTTTGTTTTTTGTTGCACCTGCGATGCATCGCATCCTGGGCAAAATTACGTAATGCCGGGCAAAATTAAACATGCGACATTTATGACATTTAACTTGGATGTGAAAAATAGATATTTTACAACTGAAAATTTCCAAGTCCCCCAGAATACATATAAAAAATGAAAAGGGAAGGTGTGGCACAGGTGACAAAAAAGGGTGCAATGCATCACAGGTGTGATAAATTTTTTATATATTTAATAATAAATTCATATATTTATAAGAAAATAATAATTTACATCAGAGATATTATAATGCACCTCCCTTTTTTCAAAATTATCATATAGTAAATTTGCTAAATCATTTACTGTATAATCACATGATATTATAAATTTCATTTTTTTGAATAAATCTTATGTACTTATTATTATAAAACTTTTAAATATATTTTTTATGCATATTTTTGCCTGCTTTATACTTTACTTATAAAGCTAAAAAGGGTTTAAAATACTAATTTTGACTTTTACATATAACATAATATAGAGAGTGTATTGCTATACACATACATATAAAATTTAAACCAAATTTATAAATATTATATATTTAAAAAATCAAATTCATCTACTTAATATAATTAGCTATTTAATTCATTGCAAACTTTCAAATGAGTTCAAAAAGAGAGGTCGCCAATTAGTATTTTTTGTTTGTACTGAGCATCAGTTTTTTGATATTTTTAAAGGATATATTTATTATTGTAGTAATAAAAATATTTACAAATGTATTTTTTGAGATACTATTGAATATCAAACATTAAGTAAAATTTTAAATAATCCATTATGGAGTTAAAGATTTTATGATGAAGAACAACAAACCTATATTGTCTTGTTTGATAATCTGCATCAACATTTAAAAAATAATCCATTAGCTATTGTACCAATTGTACTAAAGGTATAACTATTAAAAAGTACAAATCAAAATATAATTCTAGAGAAATCACTATTAAATAAAAGATTAAAACTAAAAAGGATGCAAAAGAAAATCATTGTAAAGTGGGTTTTATATACAGTCATCCCCCTCTACAGTCACATCCTTTGGGACCACCAAATGGTGTAACTATGGAGAGGTGTGCTTATAGTAAGGCTTTACATGTACAGTCACATGATTCACATCTATGTAAAATTTCGATTTGGTGTGATTATATATAATTTTTTATTGTAAGTAAAATGAATGATAACTTTATTATCAGATATAGAAATCAAATTATAAAAATAAAAAGAAATAATTTTGATTTTTCTTACCTTTCACCTTACCGAATTTGAGCTTATACAATTTTTTAGCCTACACAAACTGACAAATGTATACATCATAAAGTTACTATTCCTTTTATATCTATTTTAACTGTATATCAAGTAAATTTTATTGTTATTATAAAATTATACTATGAAACTGATGAAATAATTATCTTCAGAATATAAAAAATAAAAAGTTTTAAATGAATCTGTTATATAAAGAGTTAAAAGAATCATAAGTAATTATATCTATAATAAAGCCATTAAGAATAATTAATGAAAAAATAGAAGATCAAAAGTAATTACATTTCAAATAAAGTTATTAAAGAATAATTAATGAATTACATTATAAACAAAACTACCTTATCAAAAATTAAGAAAAATAAAGGAAAACCAAATGAAATTACTACACTAAGATTAACAAAAATAAAAAAGAATTTAAAGTCTAGTTCAAAATTATTTTTAAAAAAAGAAAGAATATTAGAGACCATTTTCAAATTAAAAAAAATGAACAAATAAACAAAACATCTGTTCATTTTACAATTCAAAGTTCTTCAGACTAAAGTCCAAACCATTTTTTTTTTTAAAAAAAAGAAAATATTAGTAATATTCTCAAATCAAAAAAAAAAAAAAAATTCCATAAAAAAAATTAACTTATTCATCACCTTGCAATATTAGTTTAAACTTCAAAGTTTAAGAAAAGAGAAATATTAGTAATATTCTCAAACTAAAAAAAGAAATAAAACTTCACAAAAAAAGATTAAACCATTCACTCACCTATGTTAAAGTCCAGATTTAAAGTTTAAGGCCGTTCTTAAAAAAAAAAAGAAAAGGGATAATGTCATATTGCAATGTTAATAAGGCTATTCCTAAAAAAAGAAAAAGAGGGAATATTATTAACATTTTCAAATTAAAACAAAAGAACGCGTTAACCAGAATTGGTATTGTAAAATAAATAATTATGTAACTAATACTATAAATTAATATTATATGATATAGTATTTGATATATTAGACACTACTGGTACGTTTTATAAATTTTTAAATATAAATATTTTATACAGAAAATTGGTGTCTTTAGCATAATGACCTAAGGCATCTATACTCTTATTGATTTGATTAATTAATAAGATGCAAGTTAGATCTGCATAGTTAACAGATTATTAGAATATTACTATATACATAGTTACCAATTGCGTTAAAGATTCTGTACTTATAAGAGGAGCTGAAAAGATGCCTATCAAATGGTGAGATAATAGATGAGATTATTGGTAAACTGATATAGTAAAGTCATAGATAATCTAAGATCCTACTAAGATGGTGTATTTATGGATTATTTTAGTACCTGGAGTGACCCTTAAGGGATATAATAGGTATCAGTAGAAATACTAATCACAAAAGCTGAATGGCAGGTGGTCAACAAATTCAGTCTTTTAAGTATAGCTAAGATAGTCATAAGGGAGCTAAAGAGCTTTGCAAATATACCTCCTCTTGATATGCTGCAGTTAGGTCCAAATACCTAAAAATATCTACTGATGTAAGTGGTTTAGGATGGGTTTAGGATGGCTCTTGTTGGATCATCCTAAATCTCTATCAAAGAGTAATGGGATGAATCTTTAAGATCTGTACACATATATTAGTTTTTTGTACAAAAGTACTTTCAGCTTTTATTTGTAATAGACTTAGTTTACTATTCTTTTAGAAATAAAATAAATAAATATTTTTATACTAATAGGCTGATCTTATTTATGAAATAATTTTAGTAAAACTTTTTAATATTTTAAGATTTTAAACTCTTAATTTCATTCTTTATTTTCCTACTCCAGAGTCCAGACTTTTCTAAAAAGACCTGATGATTACCATCTAATTTCAAATAAGAATAAACCTTTGTTAAAAATGTGTAGTTTATTAGTAGTTATTGTAATTATATATAAATTCTACTTGATAGTTGATAATTAATAAAATAAAAAATTACTACGAAACACCAGTAGTGCTCATAAAAAAATGGTAGCCGGATTTGTTATTAGGTTACACATTATCTGTGCACATGATTGGATGATTATTTTCAGTAATTATATTTCGCGAATAATGAATGTATTTTTTCATTAGCAAAATAAATGTCAAAGAAACTTATTTTATACATTTGTAATTTTGTTATTTATTATAATAAACTATTAAGGATTTTACTTTCTTTTGCTAATAGATTGTTAATATTATAATTGCTGACTATTCTTAAAAAGAATTTTGTTCTTAATTATTTTGATACTTTACAAATACTATTATGAAAATATTATTTCCAAAACATTGTATTATGGATCAAATCTCTCCAAGCTCTTGGTGTAGTTTGACGATTTTTTAGTGCTCTAATATCATGATTCATCTTTTCCAATAATTTAAAATTTGGACAAATATTTTTTTAATCATAGATAAACAACTAATATATCTGTATAATTAATTAATCATTACATAAGGTTTTTCTGTTATTATTTTTTATTAAGTGTGATCTTTTAATATTGTTTCAACATTTGCAATATTTTTTCAAAATAGCTTCTTTTTTATTTAAAAATTCATAGTTTTCTCTAATACAATGACATCCTTTACAACCCTTATTTTGTTGTTGATTTGACATGTTAATGATTTTTTTTTAGATAGAAAAAGAAGAATAGGAGGTGTGTGACGTAGCAACAAATCTAGCTACCATTTTTTACATGGTGATGCTAGAGTCGTTTGTATTGCGTCACTCATCAGATTTATTAGTTTATTTTTATTCAGTTGCTTCCTTAGCTTTCAGTAAGTCATATTTCTTAACGTTGTGTATGTCTTTTTTTCCTAACTATTCTCTCTTCTTTTCATTTTATTTTGTCACTCCACTTCGTCACTTTTTGTAAGTAGTTTTTCCCACCTTTTAACGGCTTCAAAACTTTGGCATCAGTATCCTAGTAAATGGTAAGTTATTTTGGGTCTTTTGGAATTGGGAATTTATTTTCTTTAACTATCTTTTTCTTTTTTTTGGTTGGGCTGTTCACTTCTTTTTTGGGCTTTATGGTTTTTTTGTTTCTTTCTTATTATGCTGTTCCTTTCCTCACCATTTCGTCTCCTATCATTTTTTTCCATCGCTGTTTCATTTCCTATCATTCATTTTCTATCTCCATTTCATTCCATATATTCTTTCATCTCCATTTCGTCCTATATCATTTTTTTCTATCACCATTTCATTCTACACCGCTTTTTCATCATCATTTCAACCTATACCGTTCCTTTAATTACCATTTCGTCTCCTATCATTTTTTTCTACCCCCTTTCGTTCTATATTGCTTTTCATCATTTTCATCATCATTTCGTCCCATATATACTGTTCTTTTCATTACTATTTCGTCTGAATCGTCTCCTATTGTTCTTTTCCATTACCATTTTGTTTTATATCACTTCATCATTATCATTTCGTTCCATATCATCACCATTTCATCCTATATTGTTTTTTTCTATCATCATTTCGTCCTATATTGTTTTTTCTATCACCATTTCATCCTATATATCACAATTTCATTCTATATTGCTTTTTCATCATCATTTCATCCCATACTTCTCCTATTGTTCTTTTTCCATTACCATTTCATACTATTGTTTCTTATTACTCTTTTTGTTCTTTATTGTTCTTTCTTATTCCTTATCACTCACTTTGTCCATTATTATTTATTTATACTATTGGTTAATTATAATCACGTGACACCGGTGCTGACCACCAGTCGTGATAAATAGCAAACTTTTTAATAAAAAACATGGAATTAGTCTAAACTATCTAAACTGCTTACTAATAATGTGATACTATTTACTGTACAATCCCATAATTTCTAAATAGTAATAAAGAACCTTCTATTGAGAGCATTTATATCTATACGTTCGTGTCCAGAGAGCCTTTAAACCAGCAATGAGGCTTTATCTGAGCTGGCTTGAATGCTGTTAAATTTTCTGGATTTTTTCAATTTTTGGGAAAGTATTTTTTTTAGAAATGTAGTACAAATGGAAGGGGGTGAGTATTTTTTATGTTTACGCCTTTTTGTGAACGTAAAATAGACGAAACTTAAGTTTTTCGAATAACAATTATAATAATAATTATAACTTATCTAACAATAAAGTAATAAAATGTTAGTCTAACTTATTCCGCGAATGTTCTTTATAAAAAAATGTCAATCTCAAAAGCGAGCACATATGCTACATGATTCATTCTTTTACGCCAAAATATTAAAATAAGAGTAATCGGAAAATCATCGTGAAATAATGTAAGGGGGATCTTTTACAAAAGGGTCTCTTTTCCCGAAAATCCTTATATTTGTATACAAATCAATTTTGTAACACAATGGTAATATACTGGTAATATCAAAAAAAAAATTTTTTTAATCTACATCCTTTTGTAGGTTCTCTCTCTATAATAAAAATATTAAAATTATTGATTTGAAAGCAAAATACTGTATAGAAAATGGAGGATGAAAACATTTCTAGTAGTTTTTTCGAGTCAGCACAGTTCGGGACTGGCCAGTCATCGGGACCTGATATCCCTGATGTTGACCCTTTTTCGTTTAAACCTGACCTAAATATTGTAAATTATAATAACATTAATAATCCCTGGGATCCTCCAATTGGCGGGCCTGATATTTCGAACATTCTGTGTATGCCTTTAATTTTATTTTTTTATAACGTACTTTTAAATTGTAATGCAAATAAACTATTTGTTAAGAATATTCAATAAATTCTTTATAGCGGATGTACTTTTACCAGAGATATATATGTCTGCTTTTACTCTCGCATCGCCAAATGCCGGAACGGTTTCTATTCCTGCTTTAAATAAAATTCTAGGCATAAGTGGAGTTCCTCACGCGACTATAGAAAAAGTACATATACGTTAACGTAAAATATTTGCTTATTTTATTCACGAATTTCAAAAAAAATCATATTCATTTATATTTGAAAATTTTAGATCTTGAATTTAGCCGCACCAACTAATAGTTCGCGTGTGAATCGCGGTGAATTTAACGTTGCACTTGCATTAGTTGCATTAGCGCAAAAAAATATGGGTAATTTTAAAAAGAAGTTTATATTTTATGTTATTCCCTAAAGATTAAATTCTAAAGTGATATGATTTAAATTGATAGATGTTTCAATAGAAAACTTGATCGATCATAAACATGGTTTGTTTTGTATTACTGGCAAAAAGAAGCTGTTTTTAAGAAAATTATTGATTTTTTAATTTGCGTTGAATGAATTAAATAGATCTTCCAGAGCCAATTTTAAATAACCTGGAGAGCTTAAATTTTAATCGTAACCTAAGTTTTTCTGCCATAACATCACAATCTTCTGCAATTCCCTCTCTTCAGGCTGATGATCCTTGGGCTACTCCAACTTCAACTGAGCCTTCATCGCAATTTATTCCCGGTGCAAGTACTGCAATAACAGTACCAATCACGGAAAATTTGAATCACGATGATGATTTTCGATGGTCTATCGATATGGATGTTATTACAATAAAATTTGCGCCTGAAAGAGAGGGATTTCTCTTTAAGCACGTTAATTACATTGTAGCGTCACAAAAACGCGATACCACTGTTATAAGGAGATATAGCGATTTTTGGTGGCTAATGGAATGTTTAGTAAAAAGATATCCTTTCCGTATTTTGCCCGCTTTGCCTCCCAAAAAAATAGGAAGTAAGATATTTATCTTTTTATTGCCCTTTATGATTTGAATTCGTCCTATTAAAAAAAAATATTTGAAGACTTATTTTAGTAGTGAATGGATTTTATTTCACAGTTGACGAAACTTTTCTGGAGAAAAGGAGGAGAGGACTCACTCGTTTCTTGAATTTTATCGTCAGGCATCCTGTTTTGAAGAATGATTACTTGGTTGAAATGTTTTTGACAGAACAATCGGTATTCTATGAAATTTTTTTTTCAAATAAAAATATAAAAGCCACTTTTTTCTCTAATATATAGTATCTTAATTTAGCAGATAGCTGAGTGGCGTAAAAATAATACTCCGGACTTAACAGAAGAATATATAAATAAACGGATCACTCCTGAAATGGAAGCACGTTTACCAGCTAATTTAGATGAAAGACTTGATAAAGTAAACAAGAAACTTGACGATACAATCGATCATTATCGAAATATGTGTACAATTATGGAACGTATGGCTCGCCGTCAAGAAGGTAAGTTCTTTTTATTTTTTTCTTAGTGAGAGTATTTTTATTTAATCACCTTTTTTTTCTTTTTTAAGGCATAGCAACAGATTACAGCCGGTATAGTTTATCCTTAAAGTAAGTTAATTTGAATATGAATTTTTAAAACATTCTTATATTAATTTTTACGTAACTTTAACATATCTTAGCGCGTTAATCGAGAAAGAAAAAGGATGCTACATCGAGGATTGTCACAATTGTTCCCAAGTAGTACATGGTTTAGAACAAGTGTCAAGCCATTTCAAAAAGACAAGCAATGTTATGGAGGATATGGTAAATATTAGTTATTAAAATTAAATAATGTTTATTGGCGAGAATATTTGCATGTCATTTTTTTAACTTTTTACTTTCATCCAATACAGGCAAATGCTACTCTTGATAATGTATTGGAAAATTTGAAACGACATCGAGATTTACTTGTTTCTTTTAAGGTATCTATTTAGTTTAATAACTATTAATTCTTTAAGTTCCCTATTTATTAAAAAATTGTTATTCACAGGAAACGTTTGAAAGAAGAGATCGCTTGTCTGTAGATACAATTGAGTCCCTCAATAGTCGATTGAGATCAAATCAATCTAAACTTAGTCTAATAGATGGGAAGGAAGGCACAGAACAAGATGTTGAAAGACTAAAGGGGGCTATTCAAAAGGTCTTTTGTTCATTAATTTCATTAATTTTATTTTCAAATTTTTATTTTTCCTTATCTTTAATATTACTATTTTAGGATGAAGAAGATATTGTACAACAACAAAAACGGAAATTGTTTGTACGGTACTGTCTCTATACTGAACTTACGTTATTCCATAAAAGTTCTGCATTTATTTCACTTTTATACCAGAATTTTGTCAATGATCAAATTAAATATTCACAACAACTTTACGAAAATTGGAAATCATTGAGTCCAAAGGTATATGATATGCCTATTGAAACTAATGGATTTGGTTAACAATAATTTATTGGTAGTTACTTTTATATGAAATTTGTTGTTTCATGTATTTAAATATGTTACGATGTTAAATATTTAGTAAGGGTTTGAATTCATAAATATTTTTGTGTACTTTGTTATAGACATTTACCATATTTATTGAAATTTTTTTAAAAAAAAAAATTTCATTACTTTATCTTATATTAATTTCACATGATTTTTAATTCTGACTTTCTTTTTTTACTCACGTGACTTGTTAAAGTTTCTAAAATCTTATGGACAATTTGGCTTAATTTGTAAGAGACATTTTGAATAATATTAATAATAGGCCCCTATTTTTGTGTAAAATTTTCAAACATATGACCAATTTTACTAATTAATTTGGTCATCCCACTTTTATAGTCGTGACTCGTGAGATGATTATAATGTAGATAAACATCTACTAGCTAAATATCAGCTGTGACGAAATAATTGGATTTAGTTATGCATCGTAATTATCATAATTACTAAATACGTCTTAGGATTTTTTAATGCAGATGACAATGGCTCAGATTAATCAACATGCCTTGCTTATCCTTGAAACAAAATGGTATAATTTATAAATTTCACGGTTACCCTACACAAACAATTCTTTCTGTGTACACAAACTGGGGATCCACTGTCCTAATGTCTTGTTTATAATAACTGATTAGAATGCAAAAGGATTAAAATATTCGGTGGCTGTATGTCTAATACGTCACGGATTTGACAATTTAGATGACGTTTAAATCGCACAATATAATTGTGTTTAAGTTGCTATTTAAAAATATTATCGGTGGATCCTATTGAACAGATGATGATCATATGAATAAATACTATATTGAAATATTGAATGCCGTTTTTTTTTTTAAAAAAAAAAAAAATTTACAAATATATTGATCTAACGCCTGACCTGCCAAAAAAACTACAGGCAAAAACGATACTAACACAATTTTTTTTACACCAGTAATTTATTGTCGTATTTTTGACAGCAATTATACAAAACATTGCAAGAAGAATATTTTTATATGGCGGACCATCATCCCAAAAATAATGGAGATACATCACTTCACGAAGAAATCGTTCAATACCAAAATGGAAATGGCGGCGTTCATGTAGAAAACAACGTTGATTTAGGTTACAGAATGCATTATAATGAGTTGTACCCTCACCATGAATACAGTCCAAGTACTTACTTGCCGTCAAGTGAGATTGTGGACCTTTCCAAGCACGATCGCGAAACTGTCATTGAAGAAAGTCCAAACCAAAGATATGCTAAGGTAAGTTCATTTTATTATTTTATGTTTTAATTATATATTTTACTTTAATTTAAATATTCGCACCTTGAACCATGACTTCTAATCTAAATAATTTCTATCATTATGATATTACATTTAGTTAAATACAGTTTTAGGAAAGGGTGCTTATAAAGTTGTATATAAAGCTATAGATCGTGAGGAAGGTTATGAAGTCGCGTGGAACTGCTTTCAAGTAAGTCGCGCCCACATACGAGTAAATCGCGCTTCAGATTACATTTGATTCTTTGTTCGCTTAATGATATTAAATATCTGTAGACTACCAAAGCAGAGTTCAATGAATTAAGCCAAGAAATTAAAATATTAAAGCAAGTTCGACATCCTAATATTATTAATTTTCATGATTGTTGGTACAAAGATGCAGAATTTATTTTTGTTACAGAATTAATGACCTCAGGGACGTTACGGGAGTATGTTTTAATTTAATGAGAGATAGAATTAACGGGAAGTTTAATTATTATCAGAAAAAAAAAAAAAANTTTTTTAAAAAAAAAAAAAATTTACAAATATATTGATCTAACGCCTGACCTGCCAAAAAAACTACAGGCAAAAACGATACTAACACAATTTTTTTTTTTTTTTTTTTTTTTTTTTTTGATAAAAATTACCATTATGCTTTTAATTATATGTGTACTCACCTATTTAGGTATATTCGAAAACTCTCGTTGCCGAATATGAAAATAGTTAAACGATGGTCTCGTCAAATACTTAAAGGGTTGATATATCTTCATTCACATAATCCACCAATTATTCATCGCGATATCAAGTGTGATAACATCTTCATCAATGGCGCTCACGGCGAAGTAAAAATTGGTGACATGGGAACCGCCAAGATGAAGTTGGGAAAAAAGTATACCGTCATCGGTATGCAGTAACATAATCCCAGCTGGGTTTGCTATCGTGGTTTTACATATATTGGTACCCGATACCTCCTCACTCTGCGATCTAAATGATTGATGCGAATTATTGTTCGCAAATTATAAATTAAAATGTAGGAACTCCCGAGTTCATGGCACCCGAAATGTACGAAGAAAAAGGTTATAACGAGAAGGTCGATATCTATGCGTTTGGTATGTGTCTTCTAGAAATGGTTACTGGCGAATATCCTTACGGAGAATGTAAGAATGCCGCACAGATATATAAAAAAGTCTCTCAGGTAAAATAATCAAATAATTATAAAACCTTTAGTTTATTTTAATTTACAAATATTCATCATTTGCAAAAAAAAATATATGTAATTTATTTTATCAAAAGGCTATAAAACCGGAAAGCTTAAAAAAAGTACAAGATCCTAAGATCCTCGATTTGATAAATAATTGTCTTGCACCTGAAAATGAAAGGTTGAAAATAGTTTTCCAAAGAATTATAGTTTAATATTTTTTCTTTATTGAATATTTACTCAATCGTATGATTAACACTAGTTATTATCCATTTGAAACATTAAAACGCTAAAGGTATACTGCACAACAAATAATGGATCATCCTTTCCTTACTGTCGAGCCGGAAGTAGTGTTAATGACAGCAGACGAGACAAAAACTCAATTAACTTTGCAGGTCGTCTTTAAAGGCATGGATAAGTTATCGGTGAAATTCGAATTTAACGTGGAGCGAGACACGGCAGAGGAAGTAGTGAACGAAATGGTAAAGAAATTTTACATATTATAATGTATGTTTGGTAAATTTTTTTTCTTTATAGATTAAAAAAATTGTTAAATTTTCAATATAGATAGAGGAACAGGTTCTTCAAGACAATTATCAACAATTAATTACTCATGAAATAAATCGTATTTTACGGGAAATTAATAAACTAACAAATGAAGCTGACCCAAATAAAGAAGAGCATAAAACTTCATGGCCAAGTCAACCTGGCACGCCACCATTCGTCGGAATGTCCCCGCATTTAACTCCCCATAAATCTTCTCATGGTCCGTCTCCTACACCTATTAATTTAGAACGTGATAGCCCTAATGGGACTATAGCACATACATCGTCATATCCTGCACAATCACAGCCAGTTTTGCCGAATGAGTCACCACGAAAGAATTCAATTTCTGGTTCAGGACCAGAATGGATACAAGATTATGATGATGCACTTCCCGTCAAAGGTTTGTTTTATTTATTAATATCTTTATGTTTATTTTATTATTCACGATTATGCTTTCTATAGAATATCCTGACGAAACTCCAATTGAACAATTTGTTCGCGATACTGCTCTTGCGATCAATCGAGACACAGAAAAAGCAAACGATTGGTCGAAGAAACTAAAAAATCAAGACATTATGACTGTAGGCGATTTACGTGCACTGATGGATGAAGATTGGGGACAAATTGGACTCACAGTTTTTGCTTTACGTGCTCTTAAGAATGCCTTACATGGTAAGACATTACGCAGCCTTCCTAGGACAAATAGTGCAGCAAGTATAAGCACAAATGGTGGAGAGGAAACCCTACAGGAATGATTCACTTTGCCTTCATATGTAGGCAAATAGTGTATGATTTTTGTATTCTTTGGTTAAATATACACTATATGTTTCTACTTTTGTATCTCATATAGGTTTTTTTCATTTCTTTTTTTCTCTTCCTGACAGTAGCTAAATCAAAAAGCTAAATGAAAAAAGCACAAGAAACTTACATGTATTCTTTGTTTTCGGTTACCGACGATTTCATCATCACAAATCTCTATCATATACTATCTATCTACTTTTATTTCGACATCTTACCGCTCAAATCTCATAACAATCCCGTTTATATGTCATCTTGGTTTCTATACGCTCTATCTGATTAAATATAAACATTAATTTCGAACTCATAATTCATATCCATAATTGCCGATTTGTATGAACAGTACTATATATATTATTTTTTTCGCCTCTATACTTATTACGTATACTAGAAAAATTTGAGTTGACGTATTGGATAATTTATTTATAATGTTTCTTAACGGGCGACATACATTTTTTTCTGTTTAGTTTCCTTTTTTTTTAAAAAAAAAAAAAATATATATATATATTATTTTTGTTCAATGTATTGATTTTCTTTTATTGATGACAAACAGTACGCTTAAAAAAAAAATACATGCACACACATATATATTGGTTTCTGTTTGTTTACAAACAAAAAAAAAATTACTTTTTTTGACTAGAATCTCGATGCCACTATAACTCAAATTTTGCTAATCACAAAACAAAAAAATAATAAGAAAATTTCGGAAATTTTCAGAAATTTTCGGGATATCTGACTGAAAGAGATATGGCTTTTAGTGATAAACCTTGCAGTAACACAGATATATTTTATCCAATTATATTTCGAGATCTTAAAATATAATTCCTTTTTTTTTTTTTTTTGCTCAGTAATATATTGTTCTTTATTGAGAAGAACGAACGTTAACGATGTTTAGATATGTTGCGCGCGTTGCTACGCCCCTGGCGACAACACTAGTCCGCCGGACTGTTCCTGTTACTGTATGTTTTTCTAATATTTATTAAAGGAAAAAAATTTCTTTGTCTGAATTTGAAAAGGGATAAAAATATTCATTAACTTTGATAGAACGACATTATCGAAATTTGTTTTTAAAAAAATATGTGTGTATGTGTATATATTACATACATACGTTAAAAAAGCTTAATGTATCGAAATACCAAGACTTTATTAATTTAATTCCTGCTTTATAAATAATAAATTTGATAATTTCAATTAATAAGAGAATTTTTTCAATTGATCAATTTCTTCTTTTTTTTATATAGTATTATTATTATTTATTTTTCAAGAATTAAAAAAATTGAATTTATTAAATTAATTAAAAAAAAAAATAGGTTCGCGCTGCAAACAAAGGCGCATTCAGTATTCCAGCTTGTAATTTTGCAACAGCAGCTAAACCTAGTAGGTATTTAAATATATCTAGTAAAATTATGATTGGTCAAGTCGGCCTAATTATAGATTTCTAAGAATACTTTTTTTATTTGAAACAAGAAATAAATTAAATTGTTATTTTTTTCATCGAAAAATTAAGGCACTTCCGAAGTTTCCTCTGTTTTGGAATCACGCATCCTTGGTGTATCTTCCAGTGCAGAAATTCAAGAAACTGGTCGTGTATTATCAATCGGTGATGGTATTGCTCGTGTATACGGACTTAGAAACGTCCAAGCGGAAGAAATGGTGGAATTCTCTAGCGGTCTTAAGGCATGTCTATAATTATGGTGTTTACGTCATATAAGGGATTTTAATCATATGGCATATATTTATTTCTTTATTGGAAAATTAGGGTATGGCTCTCAATCTGGAAGCGGATAACGTTGGTATTGTCGTATTTGGTAACGACAGATTGATTAAGGAAGGCGATACTGTAAAGCGTACTCGTCAAATTGTGGATGTACCGGTTGGCCCGGAATTGTTAGGTCGTGTAGTTGATGCTTTGGGTAATCCAATCGACGGTAAAGGCCCTATAGCAGCAAAATTACGAAGTCGTGTCCAAGTTAAAGCTCCTGGTATTCTTCCTCGTCGTTCCGTACATGAGCCTATGCAGACTGGTATAAAATCAGTTGATGCTATGGTACCAATTGGACGTGGACAACGTGAATTGATTATCGGAGATCGTCAAACTGGAAAAACTGCTGTTGCTCTTGATACAATTCTTAATCAAAAAAAATGGAACGATGGCAATGATGAGAGCAAAAAATTATATTGCGTTTATGTTGCTGTAGGTCAAAAACGTTCGACTGTTGCCCAATTGGTACAAACCTTAGAAGAAAATGGTAAATTTGAAATTTTTTAATAGAAAGGTTAAAATTTAAATTTCTAAATTTCGCATATTTAAATATGTACGTTTTTAGATGCCTTGAAATATTCAATTATTGTAGCAGCTACGGCTTCCGAAGCTGCACCACTTCAATATTTAGCACCATTCTCTGGGTGTGCTATGGGTGAATGGTTCCGTGATAATGGAAAACATAGTTTAATTATTTATGATGATTTGTCAAAACAAGCTGTTGCATACCGACAATTGTCATTGTTGCTACGTCGTCCACCAGGTCGTGAAGCTTATCCTGGTGATGTGTTTTACCTTCACTCTAGACTATTAGAACGTGCCGCCAAAATGAATGAACAAAATGGTGCTGGTTCTTTAACTGCATTACCAATTATTGAAACTCAAGGTGGTGACGTGTCAGCTTATATTCCCACCAATGTAATTTCTATAACTGACGGTCAAATTTTCTTGGAAGCTGAACTTTTCTTTAAAGGGTAACTTTGAAGTATTTAATATGTTTAGCTTGTTAGAATTGAATTGTGGATTTAATTTATATAAATAATACCTTTTAGTATACGTCCGGCCATTAACGTCGGTATATCCGTAAGTATTGATTTTAGTTTATATATTGCAAAACTATATAATTAAAATTATTATTTAATTATAAATATCCAGGTAAGCAGAGTAGGTAGTTCTGCCCAAACCAAAGCTATGAAACAAGTCGCCGGATCCCTTAAACTTTACTTAGCACAATATCGTGAAGTCGCTGCTGTATGTATAATACAAAAATGCCATATTTTATTATGTTATTTATGAAAAATCACGTTAACTTTTCTATCGATTAGTTTGCACAATTCGGTTCAGATTTGGATGCTTCAACGCGTTTCTTGTTGAATCGTGGAGAACGATTGGTTGAACTTTTAAAGGTTTTTAATGAATTTTACTACTAAAAAGTATTTTTTTAAAATAACTAAATTGAATACTAAATTTATTCTTTTTTTGTGTAGCAACCTCAATATAGACCAATGTCAACCGAACATCAAGTTCCTCTTATCTTTGCAGGTGTTCACGGATTTTTGGATAAAATAGATAGTAAACGTGTAACTGAATTTGAATCTTCACTCATTCCACATTTGACGTCTAATCACTCTGATGTATTGGAGACAATTAAAAAAGATGGTGTAATCTCTGATGCAACTGATAAGAAACTGCGGGAAATTTTAACAGAGTTCTTAAAATCTTTTTAATCATCATTAAATGAAAAAAATCAAGGGGAAAAAATTTCAGAAAAATTATAATAAAAAAAAAAAAGACGAACTCAAAACAATTGTTATTTAAATATATACATCAAACAAGACTTTTTTTTAAGATTTTTTTTATAATAAAATAATTATTCCTTCAAAATTTCAACACTTATTGGTTATGCTATTTATTTTACGTATACTGCAATCTTCGACCTAGACTATGTAGAATTTAGGAAAGATAAATTTTTAAAGCTCACTGCGTCAAGAAACTATTGGGGTTGAATCTTTTATCGTTCATCTAACGTAATAACAGATAACCATTAGTCTATTGTTAAAAATATGAATCATGTGATTTTTCTGCTAAACTGTTTTATCCGTTTAGAATAATACGCTAATCAAAATTAAAATTAGTATATTTAGGCTGAATTAGCACATAACTATGTTCATAGAAAACTATAATGACGACTTAATCTTATCATTGAGATTAACGTTGGTCAGCAATATCAGTAATTCTGGCCTACATTATATTATTTTTTTTCGTGTTTCAATTAAAATCATGTGAACCAATCAAAATCATGACTTATCAGTGTTATACAATTATACAGAACCATTAATTTTTCCGGTAAAAATTTCATAACGTACTAGTCATAATAGTAAAAAAGTAAAAAAGTGAAAAAACGCAATATAATATTTTTTCATTTCTTTCTTTTATTTATAAATTATGCCTTTAAACTACATTAATATTTGCAAGGCCCTTTACGATTATACGGCTCTAACCGATGATGAGCTTACTTTTCATGAAGACGATGTTCTTTATATACTAGAAAATGACGACGAAGATTGGTGGAAAGCAAAATTAAAGATCTCAAACGCTGAAGAAGCCGAAAACTCGATCGGGGTAGTACCTCGCAATTATATACAGGAGGTATGTCTTTAAGATATGGCTTGATGCGTCGTTGGCATCAGATCTTTAACCCACCACTTGCGATCTTCACAATTAGGCGGAATGTACTGCTGTTTTAAAAGCCCTTTGGGATTATGAGGCTGTTTCAGAAGAGGAATTATCTTTCAAAGAGGACGATATATTAAATCTCTATGAAGAAGATGAGGATGGTTGGTATTTGGTTAAATTTAACAATGTATTTGGTATGATTCCGCCAAATTATGTTGAAAAGGTAAAGTCATATCAATAAAAATTTTTTTTTTTTTGTTTTTTTGATTGTTTTCTTTAAAAGAGTAATTCTTTTATTATAACATTACATAGGTATCTATGGATTCTGTTGAGCAGGATGTACAAGAAGAGAATTATGTAGATGAAGATAATTCTGAAAACCAGACAAATCAACCTAAAACAGTATCATTATTTGACGCATTATCAGTATGTATAATAAATCGTTTATGATTTCTGATTTATTTATTCATCGACAACCTTCTCATTCTGTTATAGAGCGCATCCGATCAAAATAATACGTACGTGGATCCACTAAAATTATATGCAGTAAAAGCTGCTCGCCCAAAAGCTGGATCATCAGCAATCGAAAGCAAGACTTGGTCTGTTACGGTAAATTTTAATTGGCTTTAGATATTGAAATCGGTTTAAAATTTTATTGAAATTTAAATAAAAATTTCTTCTTTTTAGGAAGTTGTAGGAGACAAAAAGAAACAAAAGAAAAAAGGTGCTTTGGTCATTGGTAATGGAAAAGTCATTTTTGCTAGTGAATCTGATAAGGTAATGCCTAATTTAATTTTATTTCCGAAATTATTGAATTTCATTATCTAAGATTATAATTATATGTTTAGGCGCCAGTACGTCAATGGGAAATTAATGATATTATAGAAATTAAAAAAGACAAAAAAAATATTTCATTCACATTTGGAGGTTCTAAAGGAGGAACGATTGATTTTCATGCAAATAAAAATATTATTACAGAAATTTATCAAAAAGCCGAGGATTGTCGTGCTAGTTTAGAAATTCCTACAGTTAAGGTGGATAATTCTTCAATTAGATCGAGTATAGCTAGTTCTACATTACCCATGTCTTCACGTTCTTCATCAACCCATAAATCAATAGAGTCTGAAGAGTCTCAATATGAAGAAGATGAACAGTATGAAGAACATGATAATGGGTCAAATCCTGTTCTTGAGGAGGAAGAGGGGGAAGAAGAGCTTGAGTTACCTTCCCCTAAATTTGGTGTAGCATTATATGATTTTAATGCACAAGGAGATGATGAAGTTTCAATACGTGAAGGTGATGAATTATGGGTTATTGATGATGTTAGCAGTAAAGAATGGTGGAAAATTAAAAAAGACGATGAAGAAGGGGTTGTACCTGCTTCTTTTATTGAAGTATGCAATTGATTTGTTTCTGATTGTTAAATAATTTAAATTAAAATATTAAGATAACTAATATACTATTTAAAATTAGTTGCGTAGTGAAGAAGATAACGAAGCCGAGAAGGCTGCACAAGCCTCTGCCGCTGCCGCCGCCGCCGCCGAAGCAGAACGCCAGCGGCTCGAAGAGGAAGAATTTATTAAACAAGAAGAAGAAAAAAGGCGTCAACGTGAAGAAGAAAACCGTAAACAACGAGAAGCAGAAAAACGTGCTCAAGAGGAGAAAAAACGAAATGCAGCTGCCCAATCACAACCACCGCCACCGCCACCACCTCCCCCAGTTTCATCAAGTATGATACCTATTAATGTTTATTTATTAAGCTTCACTACAATTAATTATTATGTACCTCTTAAATTCTTCAGGTCGACCAACTCGGGCAAATCCTTCTTTAGGTATATATTGTTTTATGGCTTTCCATTATTCTTATTATAACCATGAGTAAAAAATTTAATCGTTTATCATTGTCCGTTAAAAGTGCCTCTTATTATTATTATTTCAATTTCACTATATTTATTAAATTCTTTTTTTTTTCTCTTTTTTATTCAGAAGAAGCAGCTGTAAAGAAAATTCAGACTCCTGCGAATCGCGCATTGCCTGAAAGGCCTGCACAGGCACAGTCTAAATCAAGTATGTTTTATTTTTTTTGTTTCCATTTATTATAATTTCATGTTTTAAAATTTTTTTAATTTTTAGAACCAATTCCGTCAAATACAAGGACCTGGACTGATCGAACGGGTTCTTTTAGAGTAGAAGCAGAATTTTTACAATTAGTTGATGGCAAAGTGCATCTTCATAAGCTTAATGGTGTTAAGATTGCAGTACCTGTTGATAAAATGAGTAAAGAAGATCTTGCTTATCTTGAAGAAATAACAGGAGAGAAAGTATATGACAAAAATGATGATACTCCTCTAGCAGCTATTGCTGCTGCATATAAAGGCAAGGAGAGATTAGCAAATAATTATGCAATCGATTATAATTGGTATGACTTCTTTCTTAGTGCCGATGTCTCACATGAGGATGCATTTGAATATGCTGGAATGTTTATTGCAGAGAAAATGGATGAAACTACTATACCTGATCTCAATCGTGATGTTATGAAAGGACTTGGCATCAAGGAAGGAGATATTATCAGGATTAAGAAATATATAGATCAAAAGTTTAACTTAGGGAAAAAGAGAACCGTTAGTTTTGGCTCAACAAGCGTCATTCCTGATGACATTGATAAACAATCAAGAAATAAACAAAGTGCAAGGGACACTCAGGTTTGAAGAAATGTTTTTTTTGTTTGTTTGTTTTTCCGATTAATGAATTGACTATTTATATTTTATATATAGTCGGAAGATGCCAAAAAGGCACAACAACTTTCGGAATTTGATCTTAAAATGCAAATGAAACGTGATGAGCAATTGGCTAGGGAACTTCAAGAAGAGGAAAACAGAATAGCTCGCAGTGAAGGGCGTCAAATCCCTAAAGTTGCTGATTTATATGGTAATTTAGATTCAATTATACAAAAGGAAGAGAAAAAGACACCTCCAACAACGCCACCACAACTTTTTTCTAATAATGGTATGCTAAAAAACAATACAAAGAAAGCCCGTCCCCAACCTGCAAAGGCAGCATCAATTCAGATTGACGCTAAAACTCTTGCTAATGCTAAGGACTCATTTGATGATGCTTTTAAATCATCATCAACTACATCTGAAAATAAATTTGATGATGATGCATGGGTTCCAAAAAACTTAACACCCCCCTTAGTACCTGCAGCAAAAGCACCAACAGTAAAAGCGCCAACACCACCACCTCCACCACCGCCTCCACCACCGCCTCCAACATATTCCGTTCCACAAACTACACCTTCTATTCCTATTCGTCCCTCCAATTTATCCTCCGCTAATCTATCTCCAAATAGTTCAGCTCTCACTGTAAATCAAAATCAAATATCACCACGCTTGCCTCCATTAAGTCAATTTACGAGTTCCAGCCCAAATACATCTGGACAATTTAATATGAATTCTTGGAATTCAACTGCTTCAAATTCAAATATGAATATTCAATCATCCCAGCCAACTCCTCCACCAATACCCCCTCCGCTTCCACAACAATCTGTTGTTGTTCCCTTAAACAGTACACTTCATCCACCTTTAGTTCCTACAAAATCTAATAATAACATGAATAATAATACAATGAACATTCAAAGGTCGAATTCTACAGGTAGTTTCCAAGGGATGGAATCAGGGAATTTACCGGGATCAGGTGGCAACTTTAACTCCTCTATGAGTACTTGGAGTTCTACAGGTAAGTTAAATCCATCATTACTTTATACAATACTTTAAATACTGAAATATTTTTTTTTTTCAGGCTTAACGTCAAATTCGACATCAGGGGTCAATTTGCCTAATCAATTTAATTCAAACACAAATCAATTACGACCACAATCCTCATTCAATAACAATTCAACTCAATTACAACAATTTCAATTACAACAAACAACAAATCAATTTCAGCAACTTCAATTACAACAAACAACAAATCAATTTCAGCAACTTCAATTACAATCATCTAATCAACCACAGTTTCAATCACAACATCTTCAATCACAACATCTTCAATCACAACATCTTCAATCACAACATCTTCAATCACAACATCTTCAATCACAACAGCTTCAATCACAACAGCTTCAATCACAACAGCTTCAATCACAACAGCTTCAATCACAACAGCTTCAATCACAACAGCTTCAATCACAGCAATCAAAATATGATCCTCAGAATGTATTTGCTTCTATGAAAGCTGGTAAAATCGGACCAATTGCACCAACAAGTAATTTAGGGGCTAACGGTAAATATATTATTTAAATAATGAGTTCCTTTGAAACTTTAAATACTTTAATGTTATACATATTATTTCATTTACAGCTTCATCAGATAGATATTCTGTTTTAAAACAGGTGGATCCTAATGCTCCGAGCATCTTTAACCACCCAAATTCTCAGATAAACTCATCAAGTAATTGAAACATTATTTATTGTTCTATGTCTTTCAATAAATTTATTCACTAACATCGAATTTGATTAGGTGGAATGGGTTTTGGGCAAAATCCAGGTGGATATATGAATGCAAATTGGAATCAAAATGTAATGGGTACTTCTCAACAGACTTCTAGTTTTGGAGTAAGTGGCATTCAACAATTTCCTGGATTTGGTTTTGGTGGCCAACCGAATCAAATGGAATTAAATCCACAAGGAATTAATCCAAATCAAGGTTTAAACAATAACTTTGGACTCAATAATCAAGGATTTAAACCCAATCCGGGTTTCAATAATCAGCAAAATCCTGGAGGATTTAATAAACAGGTAATGTAATGAATCATTTGGTGTACGTTGAGTTTAACCGACAGGATAACAAATATTAAATTATTCGTTTTTATTAACAGTGGTAAATGTTAGTCTTGTTAATACTAAGCAACGGATATTTTCACTATATAATAGGATTTTTAGAAACGATTTATTTATTTTTTTATATTCACATTATTATAATTTTTGATGTACTGCACCTAGTAAAATTTGTCACCGTGTGTCACGGAACTTGATGTGAGAATGAGCGGCGATAATTATGATAATTAGAATTTTTTATATTAATTACTTACTATTCGTTATTTATTATTTTTAAAGACATTATTTAAATTGTTTATATAATTTTTTTTTATTTTGTAAAATTAGAAACAAATTGATTCAATAAATTATTAATACATGTAATACACGACATATTTTCGTAATCTTAGCTAGGAATGAAGAATTTTATTATTAATAAATAATTGTATGTTCAGGTAAAAATATATGTATTTACTATTTACTAATTATGATTCAATGTAATTTTCTTACGGTAAGCCTCAATAATATATATAATATATTAATTCTGTATTATATCACACTGTATATACTAGAAATTATTCTAAAAATTAATATTTTTAAAAGATTGAAAAATCTAATTTGGAATATTTATACATTAGCAACATTATCATAAGCAGAGTTATGTACTCTTTGAGCACGTCCTGAAGGATCCTCCGGACAACCTTCATGGAGTAAAGAAAAATAAGTATAATTCGTTCAATGAAAACCATAGTGTTCCAAAAAAAAAAACTCACCCCAATCTCTTCTTGGAATCCATCGTTCAACACTATCAATACATGCTTCCTGAGGAAACCAACTTTCAAACTGTTCTCTATACCAATAAGCTTCTTTAGTAGTTGGTGTATCTTTAGGCCAACGTTCAGCAGCATTAGCAAATTGTTCATCAGTCACATGCTGCTCAGAAGCATCTTTAAGAGAATCAATCCAACCATATCCTACTCCATCAGAGAATTGTTCTTTTTGACGCCAAAGAATTGAATCAGGAAGATAACGTACGCCCCCAGTTGTTGATACATCAAAAGCCTTCCTGAGAATATACTATACAAAAGAAATCATGTTTAAATATGTAATTTTATATTATACATAAATATTCAGTTCAGGATTTACCTTCTCCATTCTTCCTTCTCTAAATACTTTTTCTTCGGGATCAATAGCCATAGCCACATTAAGGAATGTTCCATCTAAGAATGGTACACGAGCTTCAAGACCCCACGCCATTGTAGATTTGTTTGCTCGCAAACAATCAGAAGTATGAAGTTTCTTTACACGCGTGACCGTTTCCTTATGAAAATCTGCAGCAGATGGTGCAGCATGGAAATATAAATAACCTATAATACAAATAATATTTAATAAATTTGTTTTGAATAAGTAAATAAAGATTATGCAAAATTATATATAAGTACCTCCAAGAATTTCATCGCTTCCTTCACCACTCAAAACCATCTTGACACCCATGGCTTTAATCTTTCTTGAGAGTAAGTACATCGGAGTACTTGCCCTAATTGTTGTTACATCGTATGTTTCCAAATGATGAATAATATCATGAACTGCATCAAGACCTTCTTGAATTGTAAAGGTATATTCATGATGTATGGTGTTTAAAAATTCCGCAACTGAGCGCGCAGCAACTAAATCAGGCGACCCAGGAAGCCCAATGGAGAAAGAGTGAAGTCCATTGACTCCTACAAACATCCATTTCTTAACATTACAATTGTGATAAAATTTAAAGAGAAATAGGACATTTTGTCAAAGAATTCTTACCAGAATTTCCGATATGACGTTCATCTGAATCTTCTTGATATCCATTTTGGGTAGCAGCTAATTTTGCAGCTTCTCTTGTTGCAATAGAAGCAATTAAGCTGGAATCCAAACCACCACTTAACAAAACACCATAGGGTACATCACTCATTAATCTCTTACGGACAGCTTTTTCCAATGATTCTCTTAAAACAGTATAATTGATGGGATTTTTTGGTATTATTTCTCCATCCCACCACGGAGGCTTATAATATCTTGTTGTTTCACCTGTCAAACTATCATAAATATGACCAGGTGGAAACGAGATAATTTTATCACAGACCTCATTAAGCGCTTTCAATTCTGATGCAAAATAGACAGTATTCGGTGATGACGACGACCAACCCTGGTAAAGAGTAGTAATACCAATTGGATCACGTGCGGCGATGAAACGATTTCTAGTCGTATCCAAGAGAACGAACGAGTACATACCATCAAGGTGATTTACAACATCTTTCCCTATCTCAGAATACTTTTTTTTTTTAAAAAAAAAAGGACCATCCCGGTCGAAGTGAAATCGATTAACATATAATATATGTTAATTTGTATCTTTTAAAATGAATAGAACACTCACCAAATGAAGAATAACTTCACAATCCGATTGGGTTTTGAAAGTAACACCAGATCTGAGTTGCTTTCTCAAAGCCCTGTGATTATAAATTTCGCCATTGACGGCGAGGATAATTGATTCATCCTCATTGGTAAGAGGTTGAGCTCCAGAATCTGCAATAACGTTAATTAATTGACGATAAATTTTTTTTTAAAAAAAATTAATTAACTTACCAACACCAACAATGGCTAAACGTTCATGACATAAAATGTTATTTCCCGAGATTTTACAACCACTCCAATCGGGACCTCGATGTCTCAATCTAAATAAAAAAAAAATATATCAATTAATTTTTCATGATTAAAAATGGATAGAAGTTTTTAAAAGAAATAAAATTACTGTTTGGAAAGTAGTAAAGCTCGTCGACGAAAAGCATGAATATCATCCGGATAATTGAAAACTGCAAAAATACCGCACATGTTTCTTGAAGAATTTAAATTAAAACTAAAATGTTTTGAAGACGAGGACTTTTTTTTTACATTTGCATTTATAGATAATTTTTTTTTTGTAACGAATAAAAAACAGGTTTAAAATCCTGTTATCTTTTGTTCTCTAACTTCCAGCTCGGGCTTTTGATAAGTACGTCATCGGTGTTTTGGATTGAAATCTTATCTCCATTGTAAAGAACAATTAGATCAATTCTATTCGTTGTTATACGTAATTTGCAGATAAAGCAGATAAAGATGGTCATAAGGCAAGATAACAAATATTTACGTTTGGTTTAATTAATTTATCTTTCTCCTTGTTTTTTTCAAGGGAACTTCTCATGCAGTTTCACCATGGTTCTTTATCTTCTTTATCATGCTTCGTAACAGGTTGATCTGTTTTCTTACGATGCATGAATTATGTGTGCTCCTAGCTTGTTTATAAAAAGAAACCTTGCTGTCCATAATTACTCATAATTTAGGCCGATTAATTAGATAACTATTGTGTGACGAGCTTGACTCGTGGACTATATGAAATTTTATAGTTCATTGAAATTCTTGTTTTTTAAGGGAAAGTCCCCCTGAAACGTAAATAATGTATGACGCAAGAATAAGTATTTTGGCTTCTTAAGGCAAGCAAACAATGAAAATAATTGAATCTCATCAATCATCAAATAACTTGAGAATTTACTTTTTTTGATTTATCTTATCAAATTATTAAAATTATTCGGGAAAATCCGAACCGATTCTATTATCATACGTAATTAATGGATCTTATCTTGGGGAGTATAGTTTTTAATAACCTAATTTAAAAGCTCTAACCTTCTTGATTATTATCACAAGGTTCCCGAGTCTTCTCTTTAGTATCTTATTCGTTCACCGAAATTACCTTATTAACTTAGACTAAAAACAAAACTAATCGTGACATTATTTGTTTGATTAGATAAGATTAGATTTTTTTTCTATTCCGAAAAAGTAATAAGTGATTACAAAATAATTTGGACAAAAAATATTACGTAATATCCTTATCTCAATGTCTCACGAATTCCTTGAGTGGAAAAGTTTATAAATACAATTAGTGATAAAGATACGATTAAAAGGTTAATTTGTCTGGTATAAAATCCGAAAAATATCCTTTTCTATAAGTAATGGTTTAACAATAATTTATTTGCATAAAAAATCTCTAGACTAATATTATGACAGCAAAACGTATCCTTTACGCAGATTTCAAGATTTTAGCTGTATCCACATTTAGTAAGTTACTTCCCAATTCTTTTTCCTTTGGATCAATTGAGGATCCATCAAGCCATTCAATATTCGGACATCGACGAAAAACGTCATATCTGTAAAAACATCTTTTAACAAACCACTGATCTTCTAGATTTTGTTTAAAGTCTTCATCCCGACGATCCCATTCCATTTCTTCTTCTGGGACACGATGCATAGCATAAGAATTTTGGTGAACCAACGATGAGGCAACAGCCGGGATAGTTGGATAAAAATTGCTTGAAAACGGATTATTTCTATGAAATTTTTTAAAAATTAGGTAAATGTCATAAATTCATTTTAAACAATTATAAAATTTTTGATTCTACCTCGTATCCAAATATTTTAATTTAGGCAAAGTTTTTAACACCTCAGAAAAGGCCATATAATCATATATACGATTGCCTTCTAAAAACAATCGCCTTAATCGTTTCATTTTACGAAGAGACGTAAGATCCCGCAATTCGTTATAGCTTAATATTAACACGATTATGCTGGGACAAACGTGATTTAATTTATGAGGCAATTCTTTGATTTGTGCAGCTGCAAGTTCAAGATATTCTAGCTTGTAAAAATCGATTATAGGTTCTAAAGTTTTTATCGGATTTCCTAGAAGTTTAATGTAATATAAAGTCAGAAATGACTTAATACAAGAACAAAATTCTATAAATAACTTACCAGACAAGTAAATATGTTTAAAATCACGTAAATGTTTTAAGGATAAATACCTGTATAAGATAAGCGATTAAATAACAGAGTAACAGTAACCGTTGTTGATAGTTAAAATGTAAATGTTTCACTTACATTTGCCCACCTTTCTGATCTCGTGCAGAAAAAGTTTCCAAAAACGCCAGAGTTTCGAAACGTTTAATTTCCTTCAGACGATTTTCATCTACCCATAATAATCTTAAACTAGGAAACGACGAAACATCCAGTTCTGATAATTTGTTATAACATACACGAAGACAAGTAAGCTGCGGCATATTTGTTGTGACACTAAAAGAACGTAGAAGATTATGATCTAAATAACAGATAAAATATTAATTCTATTTCATTCTTTGAACTAATTATTCACTTTACCAATAATTATTAACCTAAATTTAGTGCCTTTAATGCTATTAGTCTTTCAACATTTTCTATTAATTCTATTTTATTTTCAGATAAGTCAAGTAATTCCAGTCGACGCCTAATAATGTAATATTTATAATATTTAGAAATCAACATCAAACACATATCTTAATAACTTTTATTTCACTTAACAAGTCGCACGATTCAAAATCCACAGATTTGAGTTTGTTTTTCCTCAAACTTAATTTCACTAATCCTGGTACACGTAACACGTTATAACAGCATGCAATTAAATTATCATCAGCAAACACTTCACGTAAATGTTCAAGGCGATGAAGGTCTTTTGAATTTGTATTAAATAAAGATTTTTGTTAACTTATATCCTTAGTGTTTCTGATATATTAAAAGTACTAATTATTTGTATAACTTATCGTCACTACCTGTTAATGTCTCGATCCGATTTTGTGATATATCCAAGTATTCCAAATTAGGTAAATGTGCAAAACTCGTTAGACTCGTTAGTCTAGTAGGCACGTAAAAATTATTAGGAATCAAATCTATGGATTTTTGGTATATAAATTACTCGCCTATTTCCTCTGACTTGTAAAGTGGTCAACGACGCAGATGTACCAGTTAAATAACGCAACAAGTTATTATTTCTGAAATAAAGGATAGGTATAGGATATTATACATATCTTATTTATTTCTTAAAATATACCATAAAAGGATACAAATTTAATTCTTTTAATTTAGGCAGAAGTTCACTCAAATGATTTAACGACTCTATATTTTTTGTACTTAAATCGATTTTGCTCATTTCTTTCCAATGGGATTGATTTGATTCCATCTCAGAAATAAGTTTAGTTAACGTGTCGTGTGTCACACGAAAAGAGTAATTACTATTCGTTGTGCCCGGAGTACAAATAGATCGTTCTGAATCCATTACTGGTGTAGTTGTTAAAGTTTTAACTCTTTGATTGACTGGCGTATAATAAATTTTTTGTTCCGAATTTTCACCTAATTCTTCATTACTAGTTATATCTGGCGAAATTATATGAACCTTTTTCTTTTTTTTAACCTGCGAAGTAGTAGCGATAATTTGTGTGATCTCATTTACTTTCTGAAATATTGGTGACTCTTGTTCTAATTTCAAACCATCTGTATTTTTTTTTTCATTTTGTCTCGCGACTAAAAGAAACTTAACATCATTATCCTCCATCAAAACTTCATGTTTCACTTCAGCTGAAATCGGTATCGGATTCTCGTTTAATATTAATCCTGAGTTTACTTTATCACAAGATCCTAAAGGATGAACGCGATTTTGATATTCTTTTTCATTTTCAATGAAAATCTTGTCTCCTTGACATGACTCTTGTCTATAATCAATACTCATATCACTATTAGAAAAAGACTCAATGTCCTTGTCTGGTTCTTTTTCGTTCAAGTAGATCTCGCTTTCAACTTGAACTTGGATCGATTTGCTCTCGTTTTCGATCGTTTTAGAATTGCCATTGTATTCTTTTATTATGTCTTCAGAAGAATCTTCACTATGATAACTTTCATCAGAATAACTTTTCAGATATTCGTCCAAAATGACGTCGACATTACGCTTTTCTTCAATGATAAAACTTGTTTGAACAGCAAAGTCGTGTGTTTCTATCCGACCATTACCGACCTGGACTGCTTTGTCAACAAATTTTTTTATTGGTACATGTTGCCTACGAACCATTATATCATCTAAGCCATAAAAACCTCGTTTTATTGAAGGAGTTATGGCATCATCTAACTCCGACATATTTCCCCTAGAGTTATTTTCGTTATTATTGTCAACAAAAGGCGTATTTTTCGAAATTACAATATTCGTGTCTACGATAAAATATAATCGCTAGTTATAGTTAAGTAAAAAGCTTAAGGCGAAAAAAAAAGAAAACATACTTTCTTCCTCAACGATTTTTATAGCTAGCTGTTCATATTTAGAACAACTTGATCCTACTTTTTTATCTTCTAGATTTTTGACACCGGTAATATTTGTATCAGAAAGTAAGTTTTCCTGATCACTACCTGCAAATTCCTCACAAGAGTTCTCGTCTTCACAAGATATTGGGTACATTGATGTATCTTCGATTATCATATAATCGTGTTTCGGTGGTAACCTAGGAGGTTCGCTCCTAAAACTCCAAAGTTTAGACAGGACGTGCATAGCTTCACGAAACGGCGGCAACGATACTCGAGTGATTTTATCCTTTTAATGACGTAAATAATTCTCGACGCGAAATTGCGCGTCGAATTTGATTGGGTGTTACGACTGTTACGTTGTATACGTGATGAACTAGTCATCACTGTGTACAAATCATTAGTTAAATATTGTCACGTCAAATTTCTACGGTCACGTGTTTCTCGTGCAAGTGACTTTTGACAGATCAGCCAATCAGATCTTTGATTTGCAGGAGAATACTTGGGCACTTGGTATGTGTATTTTTCTCTTAGAAAAAAAGGTAAACCAGAGTAAACCTTTAAGCAGTTCATATACTGTATTACTCTTTAAATAATAGGATAAGTTTTATTTTCTTTATTTTTAATTTGGTTTTATCAGAAATGTTTCAATTTTTATTGTTTTATTCTAGATATTTAGTTTAGTATTATTGTTTAGTCAATACTTTAACTGTAACTTAGAATCAAACTAAAGACATATTGTAATTTCTATAGTTTTATTAATAAATTTTTATCATTTAACCAGTAAAAAAAAAAGCAGTCATATACTGTAACATTTATAAAAATACACAAATTTAAAAATAATTGATAAGTATATATATTGATTTTATTTGTAAAAACAATAAGCATACATGGCTAAAAACATGAAAAAACTTCAGCAAGTGGGATCACCAGTTGAGTAAAAATTTAATATTCATTAAAATCTAATAATTATAACCAGACAGTTATATTTAAGTAAAATTTGGCACAGTAAATTTCATTAGTTTACTTTAAAACTTTAGCTATTACATAACCTTTAAAATTTTGTTATCTGGAAAGTACTTATAAATTTTATCATTAACTAAAGAATTGGACATATTTTCACCATATATTTTTTTATAGTGATTAAATATAATTAAACTATAAGATATACTATATTCTTTTCAAAATAATAATATATATGAATAACTTTTAAAACAGTAATTTTTTATTATTATCTTCAGCATTGATGATCCTATTATTTAATTCATGAAAATTAACCTACTAGAAGAGCTTTTCTGTAAAATTGAAGTAAACAATTATTTGATAAGTTTTTTTAAAATAGACAAATCTTTTCTTCTAACTGGTTTCTTTACCTTTTTTTTAGATGTAAATGAATTGGCATCTGTATCTTCATTAATTTGTTTTATACTACTGATATCAGGTTGTTCATCATTATCAAAATCCATTTCTACTTTCTTTTCCAGTTTTATATCAGTTAATGAATATATAAGACAATTTTTGTGAATTATTAATGCAATTATAACACATAATATGCTTATATAAAGTTCTGAATAGGTCAGGTCAGGTTAGATTAATTGATAAACCTAACCTGAAGTTTTTTTTTAAATCAGATCAGGTTAAGTTATATCAAATTATCTGTTTAATTTGACCTGAACTGAAACCTAAAAATTTTCAGGATTTTTATTAAAATATCAAAAAAAAAAATGGTGTAAACCATTTTTTTTTTTTTGAAATATTGCAATTCACTTTTTTATATTAAAATCATATAAAAAGATAAATTACAATACTGAAACTAACTTTTTTTATATAGAATCAATATAGAAAAGTGAATTCTGATACTGCAATTCACTTTTTATATATAAAATCAATATAAAAAAGTGAATTCTGGTATCACAACTCACTTTATTATAATCAATATAAAAAAGTGAATCCCAATATCGCAACTTACTTTTATTATATAAAATCAATATAAAAAATAAATTATAATAATATAACTCATTTATATTATATAAATTATAGTTTTAGGTCAATAGGTCATTCAGGTTATATTGATGTTACAACTTGAACTAATGCTAAATTATAATTGCTAAACCTGAACTGATAAATTCAGATCAATCTTGTTAGATTATCTGAATTTGATCAACCTATTCAGAACTTTATACTTGCAGGTAAATATACAACTGAAGTGGTTTCAAAAAAGCTTAAGAAAAAAATCAAAGAAAATCCTATTCATAGTTGGTTAAAACTATCTATTAAGAAATTAAAAAATTGTTAATATTTCTTAAAAAAAGTATAGTATATTAGGGTACTATCAAATATTACCTAATATTTTAGGGGGAAAGGGGGTAACTAAAGATCTTAAGTTACATATAATATTATATAAGGAAATTATATATATAATATATCTTACTTAAGAGAGAGAAAGTAAACTCTTATAAAGTAATATTAGGTAATATCTGACTGTACCCTCAACAATCATTTATTATTATTGTAATATTTGTTATATATGAAATTAAAATTAAAGCCCAAAAGTGGAAATATTTTGACTTGGAAAGGTCAAAAGTCAAAATTAAAGTTGAAATGGTCGAAATTACATCATGATAGTTATATGATTTTTATAATTATAATTTAATATAAAATTTTAAATATAAATAACTCCGTCAATATTAATATTACAAATATAAAATATATATCATTAGAATCCTCTCAATGAGTTGAATCCAACTGCATAAAGATCATCAAAATTAAATCACTAGATGTAGAGTAGGACCCCGAATAATACTAATATAACTCACAAATGATCGGCATGCATTTACTATTAACTTTTTTTTCATAGTAACGCTACGCAAATCCAAATCTTAGTTCAAAAAAATTTTTGTTACTAATATAATTCATTTCACATTTTTTCTATTAAAATATTAATAAAATCATGCAAACCTCACCATCTGTCTCTTATACACATCTAGATGTGTATAAGAGACAGTGGTTTAACAATAATTTATTTGCATAAAAAATCTCTAGACTAATATTATGACAGCAAAACGTATCCTTTACGCAGATTTCAAGATTTTAGCTGTATCCACATTTAGTAAGTTACTTCCCAATTCTTTTTCCTTTGGATCAATTGAGGATCCATCAAGCCATTCAATATTCGGACATCGACGAAAAACGTCATATCTGTAAAAACATCTTTTAACAAACCACTGATCTTCTAGATTTTGTTTAAAGTCTTCATCCCGACGATCCCATTCCATTTCTTCTTCTGGGACACGATGCATAGCATAAGAATTTTGGTGAACCAACGATGAGGCAACAGCCGGGATAGTTGGATAAAAATTGCTTGAAAACGGATTATTTCTAT